GGACCTCCGCTCCTGGACTAAAATTGATTTCAAGTCTTACCAAGACTATAGGACAGAGTGGGTTTCCATTCTTTACAAAAGAAGGTCCACGATGGTGCGGTTGTTACATACTTGGCTGCTGATCAAAAGGTTGATGGTTCAAACCCATCAGTTGCTTCATAGAAAAAAGCTGGGCTAGTCAACATCTGTAAAGAATACAGCTTTGGAAGCCCCGTGGGGACAGTTCTACTGTGTCTGTGGGGGCAGTTCTACTCTGGGTTTTTATGAATCAAAATGGACTCAATGACCACGGGTTTCAGTTTTTGTACTCTTTACAGAAGCAGACTGCCCAGTGGTGTCACTAGGATGAGTGGTGCCCAGTGTGGGATCTCCTGCTGTCCTTCCTCTTCCCAGGTGTCCCTGTGGACCTCCTCTCATACTAGGCCATGCAGAATCTTTATTTAATGCTCATTTTCTATTTTAACCATAGAATAATATGTGATAAGTATAACTATAAACTGCTTAAATGTAATATTTCTGAGATTATATGAATACTAACAACTATTATATAAAATTTCTCTACATTTAACTACAACACTGTTGTTGTTGTTGTAAAGTGCCGTCGAGTCAGTTCTGACCCATAGCGACCCTGTATAGGGTTTCCGAGGAGCAGTTGGTGAGCTTGAACTGCTGGCCTTGCAGTTCAAACACCACCTACAGCGCCACACCAGGACTCCAAATACCACACTACTAATTCCAAATTATTAGCAACTGAGTGGGAATCCTTTAAATTTTTCTTCTTTTTCTTTAATTACTACTTCATTTTCAATAAAATTATTGATACGAGTTCACAAATACTAGCTACCACAGTATTATACTATTACACTAAAAACTTTGACAAAAATCAGTGACTATAATATCAGCAGCAATAAAAATAGCAATTGTAGCATGTACGAACAAAATGATATAATTGACTAATGATGACAGAGCACATTAAAAGTTAAAAAAAAAATTAGCATAGAGTCAATGCCTTGGAGGTATATTGATACATGTAAGCTGGGCTTGAAAAATGTTTGTCTTGTTATAACTTACTACAGAGATAGATTCATAAAAAATAATAAGCTTCCCATTGAAATACTGCATAAAAATTTTATAGACAGTCATTTTAGGTGTCAACTACTTTGACAGTGTCACTGAGTACAGTCAACATCCTCAAACCCCGTAGTCCTGTCACATCTTTTGCCCAAAGAGCAGCTTGATTAGAAGCAGAGGACTGACCCACTGTATGACTAGAGTTCCTTGCAGTTTATATAGAGAATTCTGAAGTCAACACCATCCCTGGTACTATTTTTCTCCAGTAACCAACATCAATACAACTCTAATAAAAGCTGTCTTAAATTTTGCATGCTTTCACCCAGAAAGGAGGATAAATTTGACTTCCATGTCTTTATGAGCGGTCTCATTTGTTGGGAGAATTGGCATCAGAAGGCTGAAGGTGCTCTGGGAAATCATCACATCCAAGCAGCTCATTTTATAGTTGAAGAAACTAAAGCCTAAAGAGAATGAGTGTCCTCTAGATCCACTATGTTCTGGCTCAACAAGCATGGTTAACTAAGGGGCCAGTGTTGATATTTCACAACATTAGAAGAAGCCAAGTCAGCTACTCAACTTCCATTTGATATATGAGAACCTTTGCTAGAGAGGAATGGAACTATTTTGGGAGGGGATTAACTTTATTAACCCAAAGTTTTCTGGAATGATATATTTTTCTTGTGTCTTCCTAGTGTGTTGGGGTAGAGCAAACAAGGTTAATGCCTAATGATGAACTTGTTTCTATACATAGAGTTATGCAGGCATTTCTATACCTGTTTTTCCTTCAGTCCTACTCCCTCCCCAAAATACCAACCCTGTGGCCATCAAGCCCATTCTGACTCAGAGTGACCCTATGGTGGTGGTGTGCCATTGAGTTGATTCTGAATTATAGCAACTCTGTATAGGGTTTTGAGACTGTAAACCTTTATGGGAGAAAAAAGCCTAATTTTTCTCCCTAGCAGCACCTGGTGGACTTGAACTGCTGACCTTGCAGTTATTAGCCCAACACATAACCAAAGCTCTTATAGGACATAGAGTGACCCTACTCAATGGCACTTAACACTAACAACAGGATAGTAGGATCTCTGGTAGCATATAGGTTATGAGTTTGTTCAACCTCAGGGTCAGCAGTTTGAAACTACCAGCGTTTCTATGGGAGAAAGATGAGGCTTTCTGCTCCCATAAAGATTCACAGCCTCAGAAACCCTATACGGGGTTGCTATGAGTTAGAACCGACTCCACGGCACATAACCAATCAACCACCATAGGATAGTAGAACTGCCTGCAAGGTTTCCAAGGCTATAATATTTACAGAAGCAGACTAACTACCTGGTCATTCTCCTTTGGAGCAGCTGGTGGGGTAGAACCACTGACCTTCTGTGTCAACCAGGGCTTCTTCCTCTACCTCCTAAATTAAAAAACACCAAACCCCTTAGCGTTAATTCCATTCCAACTCATAGAAACCTTTGTAGGACAGAGTAGAATTGCCTCATAGCATTTCCAAGGCTGTAGCCCTGGTGGTATTGTAGGATAAGAACTGGATTGCTAACCTCAAGGTTGGCAGTTCAAATTCACCAGTCAATCCATGTAAAGCTTCCATAAAGCTTTACATCCTTGGAAATCTTATACAGGGTTGCTATGAGTTGGAATTGACTCAACTGAAGTGAATTTGAGTTGGAATCTTTACAGAAGCAGATTGCCACATCTTTCTCCTGTTAGTGGGCTGAGACTACCAGCATTTCAGTTAGCAGCCAAGTGCTGAACTACTTGACTACAGGGCTTCTTCCTTCTCCCCAGCAACCAGAAAAGAAGGAGCTGTTTCCAAGTCAGATTTATTGTATCTCTACAGGGATAAGCCCAGAGTCTTCTTATGGTCCCCAGCCTGGACTGTGGTACTGGGTAACCACTAGTTACGTGACTTAGATAAGAAATATGACCTCTTTATATCTCCATTTCCTCATCATAAAATGGAGATCATTTTAATATCCATTCTGCATATGAAATGTTTCATTACTGCAGTGCTTTCCACAGAGTAAGCATTCAATAAATGTGGACTTGAAAGTGCTGAAAACATTTCTTGAAAGTTACTAAGGGTAAAGAGGGAATTGTCATAACAAAGAGGTTGTTGATTCTTGTTCACACTGTGAGCTCATGCTAGTCCCCACAAGGAGCTCTGTAGTGTGGTAGTTATGAATCGGGCTGCTAACCTTAAGGTCAGCAGTTTGAAACTACTAAGCTGCTGTTCTATAGGAGAAATATGAGGCTTTCCGCATAAAGATGTACAGCTTTGGAAACCCTACACATGGTTCCTGTGAGTAGGACCTGACTCTGCAGAACATACCCACCAACAACAACATAATTTCTCCTGCGCATGGAAGGAGTGAGAACAGCATAGCCAGCTTTGTTTTTCTTTTTTAATAGCAGAACCTTCAAATGTACATAGACATGTTGTTGTTGTTTAAGTGCCATCAAGTCAGTTCTGACTCATAGCAGCCCTCTATAGGGTTTCTGAGGCTTTCAATCTTTGCGGGAGCAGAAAGCCTCATCCTTATCCCATGATACAGACATGGTCGCCCCCAAACACTTGAGATATATTCAGCCACATTACTCTCCCCGCCACACACACACTCAATTCATAGTGTGAACACTCAAGTAGTCCGTAAAAAGGTCAAACTCTCCATCTTTGACCAAGAACTCCAGGGGTTTATTTTGTGGAAAGAAGTCTGAGATCATTCCAATGGCAAGTAGTGGGAGAAGTGGCCCCAAGAATTTTACGAGGACGGTTGCTTCTCCATCAGATCTTTGGGCCTCATCTAGTGGGGATGGACTTTTCACCTCTGCAAATATGTCTGCCTCCTCCCTAACGAGGAGCTCAGCACACTTAGCTTGGCACACTTCCAGTCACCAGGAAGCCTGCTATCCCACTCATCCATAACAATGGGGACCCCACACTGACCACACCAAGATGCCCATCAAGTGACTGTTCACATTTAAACTGTACTCTGCTGTTCTTGGAGTCCTGGTGTGGTGCTGTAGGATAAGCAAGGCCAGTGGTTCAAATCTTCCAGCTGCTCCTTGTAGACCCTATACAGGGTTGCTATAAGCACTGTGAGTCAGAACCAACTTGACAGCACTTAACAACAACAACAGCAACTGCTAAATGCAGAAGCCCTGTTGATAAAACAGATAAAAAAGAGGAGAACTGCTCAGGCTGAAATGGGAGTGAGGGCCCAGTCCCCTTCCCTTTATTACTCACCAGTAGCAGCAGCCCTAAATCCTGCTGACACAAGCAGTGTAGCAGCCAGTGGCCCAGAGGACTGCAGGGACCCAGGTGACCCTTGTTATATTTTCACAGGTACACAATTCATCAAAGTTTGAAACAGGAATATATGGCATTGTGTGACAAGGTCTAGCTTTGGAACCGTAACTCAGTTAGTCATGCTTTCACTCCAGAGTCGATCACCACAGCTGTGGTCAGACTGGCTAGCCTTCCCTATTTTACTTCTCTTTGGAATATGGATTGTGAATTACCCTAAGCAACTGTGTGACCCAAGAAAAGAGACTGGGTCAGGTTATATGTGGCCTCCATGTGGCCTGTTTACACATCCCAGGTCAAGAGACTCAAGCAGAGTGACAGTGACAGCTGCCGGTGGCATTTAGTTTAAAGGGAATTCTGCTCAGCAGGATCAGGAAGGAGTATACCGTTACAGCTGCTGCTCAGAGAGAAACTGCTTCCATCCACCTCGGGATGAGTCCTGCGGCACAGGAACTGTCATGGACATTCTCAACGCCTGACGGAGACTTTCTTGAAAACTTTCTCAAGCCTGGGACCTCCTTACCACCCTCATCCTCACCACCCCACACGCAGAGCCTGCCTGTATCAGCCTGGCGCTTAGTGGCTGGGTGAGGACAACAGAGTGGGGACAATGGGGGCCAAGCAGTCAAGGGCTGACTCCAAGGCCAAGAATCCTAAAGGGATGTTGCTGTTAGGGAGGAGGCAGAAGTTTTCCCCATGGGATGATGCACTCCTCTCTGGAAGAGATCCAAGGTCCCTGCTGAAGCGTGGTATGCGTCACATCAGCTTTAGCCTAGTCACAAAGGGGATGACAGATGTCCCAGACTTCTTGTGGGGTCTGTTGGAGGTCCAGAAGCTCAATCTGTCTCACAACGAGCTCAGAATTCTCCCTCCTGAGGTGGGGCAGCTGACTCGGATTGTGGTCCTGAATTTGTGTGGGAATCGCCTGAAGAGCCTACCTGGAGAACTCAGCCTCCTCAAGAACATGAAGGTCCTGTTTGTCAACATGAACTGCCTGACCGAACTGCCGGCTGAGCTGAGCTCCTGCAGAAACTTGGAGGTGCTGAGCCTGTCGCACAACTGCCTTTCCCAGCTACCTGCCAGCTTTGCTGACCTCTCCAGGCTGAGAAAGCTGAACCTCAGCAACAACTACTTTGCTCACATCCCCATTTGTGTGTTTTCATTGAAGGAACTGGACTTCCTGCATGTGGGCTCCAACCGACTAGAGAACATCGCGGAAAGCATCCAGTGCCTGGCAAACCTGCAGATCTTCATTGCAGAGAGTAACAACATCCATTCCTTTCCCAGGTCTCTCTGCTTAGTCACCAGTCTGGAGCTGCTGAACTTGAACAACAATGACATCCAAACCCTCCCAGATGAACTCTACCTGCTGTGTAGACTGACGCGGATTGCCTGGAATCCAATGGACAAAGGGCTCCATATTTCCCATAACCCTTTATCCAAGCCACTGCCAGAGCTGGTGGAGGGAGGTCTGGAGATGCTGTTTAGCTACTTGAAGGACAAAAAGCACAACTGACTTGGGCTGCCAAGGCATGGATGGAGCCAGCTCAACTGCTAGTCCATAGGGTACTTCTCTAGCCTAAGCCTTCTTATACCTGTTACTATTTGTCAGTGCTTCTGTTAACATTTGCTAAATAATTGTCAAGCACCTGTCCCAGGGAGGAACTCACTTTCAACTCTTTATGTTTCATATAGCTTTCTTTCATAATGCATGTTCCTCTCATTCTAAGCATAAATTGAAATGGCCCTTTGGTTTTCTTTAAAGAGGAATAATTGTTCTATGTCTTTTGAGGAGTAGTGACATTCAGCCTATGGAATAGTGGAAAAGATGCCTAAAACTCAACAAATTCAAAGTCAAATATTTACCAAACACCTCTTGTGTGCCAAGTTTAATACGAGCATTTGAAACCACCTGACTTAAGATGGCATTGACCTTTGAGCTGGCAACAAGATGTGTCCCCTATTTCAGCCCCAGTTAAGTGTATTTGGGACCAAAATATGAGCTGGAGCCCTGCTCTGCTCTCCTTGACCAAGTCAGGTTGAGATTCCCCTTGAGTTTTTGGGAAACAATCATAGGAACTTTCTCGTTAAATTGTATGCAGAATAACAATCAAGCTGCTTGTGTCTGTTGCTGAGTAGCAGGGATCACCTTCTGGCTCTCAGATAATAAACATAAATCAAATTTAATGTGTGGTTTCTGCCTTCTTCCTCAACCCTCTTCCACCCCTAGCCATATTCCAATACTTTTTTGTCTAGATGAGTTAGTCAATAGACAAATGATCAAATTTTAAGTTAGATTCTTCCACCTCATGGGATTTACCCTCTCAGAGATAAACTAACCAAGTGGAAGAAATGGCCAAATGTTGGGGTAAAGTAGGTAAGGCCATACACACAAAAGTAATCACTCTTAAAACTCAGAGGAGGGTAACAGTTACCACTTGGTTTTCACATATGGGTATTTAAGAAATACATTTTGTAACATTTCAAAGCTCTTTGGACAAAAGGCTCTGTGAAAATTAGTGTTTTGTTTTCAATGATAAGAGTCCACAGTTTATAGTTAGTTACCCAAGAACCCTAGGATAAGCAATCCCATTAGCCCAAGGGCTGTTGGCCCTGACTGCCTTCTCAGAGGACAGGAGCCCGAAATCTTATTTCTTTAGTGTTAAAGGATTAGAATGAAAAGGTGGTAATGAAGGAAGTACACAAAACTCAGTCCACTACATTTCTATAGCGTCACTCACAGTGACACTGTGGGACACATTAGAACTGAGGCCATAATCTTTACAGAAATGGACAGGCTCTTCTTTCTCCCAAGGAATGACAGGTGACGTAGAATGGCCAGACTTTTCGCTTAGCAACACAACGCTGAACTCACTACCCACCTTAAAAGAAGTATAGGGTCTTTATATAAAAATTAGCCAATCACTGGCTTCTTGGCACAGTGTCTACAGACTACAACAAATAATATCAGGGTTTAGGATCTGGGGTTGTGCTAAAACTTGCCTAACTTTTTAACATCTTTCCTTTAACTAAGTTAAACTTATATTCTCTAGACTGTACACTACACTGGGCTGGCACCACAAAAGGAAGAGTCCTCTGCTCCTTCCTGCAGAAGCTCACAGCTTAGCAATAGAAACAGACCTACACAGGATTTGACAAAGTGCAGTAAGCTGTTATTATAGCTAAAGAAAGGTGTAAGCAGTGCGGGGGAGGGGAGGCAAGAACACACTGTACAGTGAAGACTGGACAGAGCCCCAGAGTCCTAGTAACCAAAGAATAAACTTTGCATCAAGCCGTCAAACCCTTTGTTCACTGTAGCCATCTAAAGCTCCCCTCCCCTTCCCATGTGGGTAAGAGCAACAAAGTGCTAGGACAGTGGGTAATTCGTTCTTGGGTTCTGAGCTCAGGCAATTTAGTGAGGCAAAAAGCTGTCTTATTTTTTCCAAGAGCTGCTCAAAGGAGGTTCATATAACTTATTCATAGAAGTGAGTGATTTTCCCAACAGACCCCAAAGCAAATTTTCCCATCAATAAAATGAGTGAAGCCAATTCCTTGTCACTGGCTCCCATAGTTCCATTAACACATTTGTGCATGAGCTCTTTTGCTAAACCCTTGAAAACACTTGGAGGCAGTTAAAAAAAGTCTCCTCTAAAGTTCCCTCCTCCAGCAACTGGAGACCTGCACATCTCTGCCAGGCACACATAGGCACCCTCTGCAATCCTTATCCAGGGTGGCTGGGTAGAGCCCATGCTATTTAAAGACATCAGTGGAATTTTCACTTGCCCTCGTGACTCAGTGGGGAATCGTAGGGTGAAGTTTTCCTCTGTAGAACCGGGTAGACCATTCACTGAAGATTCAACTAAAGCCCACACAGCTGTCAGACCAACAACAGTGTGTGCCAGGGTCACACCCATGAGCATCGGCTGGGTAGAACTCCCATTAACTCCCGTGACCCTGGTGTCTGTGAAGACGCAGATGAGGACAACAGCCCAGCACTTTTCCTGCTGAACAATCATTTTATGTCCTCTTCTAGCTTTTCCAGTCATTGGATCCAACAGTTACTCTACTCCAGGGAAAGAATGTCCCATATTTTGAAGGTGACTCGAAAGCGTACACGTTTTATAGGAAAAAAAAAAAAAAAAAAAGTTCTGAATTTGGTTGCAGTTTGCACCTGTGCCTTTCAAAAGTATATCAGCCGCAAGTTTTCTTTGTTGGTGCTCAGCACTGAGGATACAATGAAAGTAAGAGCAGTGGTCTGATGTGCTTTAGATATTGATGCATTGTGAATGCACTTTTTTTATTGATAAAAGGAAGAGCTGAGCAAAAATTGGTCCATGAGCTTAGTTATTCATAACACCCATGTAGAGGGAATCTGATATCACCTTCAGGGTTCCTACTGTCCATGTTTTCAGCTTACTGACCAACTGTGAAATGTGTCTGGCTTTTATTTTGTAGTTCTGATACTGCCACATCCCAAGAGCTCACAGGTATTTCTAAGGTTTCTGGAATCAAAGCACTGAGAATGGCAGCATTAGCATGCAGTGTATTTAGCTGAAGAATATGAGCTAATTGGACACAGGAAGTAAAGAACTGGGCGCACAAATTCTTGATGATATTGTGGGTTTTGTGTCACTTGGCTCCTGGTGTAGAATAATCTCAGTAATGGGCTCAGAAACACCTTTTGAAGCTGCTGCAGTGTACAAGCATATAATTAAGAAGAAATCCTATGTTCATAGGAAAGGATGAAGATATTGAAAAGACACATCTGCTCAAGGAATAATATCACTAAATGAACAGAACTACTGTGTATGTGAAGGAAAAATGTAGTCATTACTGAGCTTGTTGACTTAATAAATGGTTAATGGGGAGAACTGCACTCCCTTCTTAGGCTGTACTTAATTGACTGCCTTTCTGTAGTAAGCAAGACAGAACCATGGGAGGGCCGCACACCTGCGTCTCACAATGAAAGCATGCTTGCTCTGGAAAGACATAAAAGAGGGCATTCTGCCATTATTTGTAGAGATACATTGAACTAGCCCCTTTCCTTTGGCAATGGATCATACACCTCAAACATATCAAATATCCATTTTGATAGTGGTGCATTTAAAACAGATGGGGAAAAAATACAGCTATTTACCAATAGCCTGAGATTCTGGGGTAAGTGAATCTCAAAGGCTGAATAGGGTGGGTCTTTTTAGTATTCTAAATAAGCTAGGAAGAATCCTTGTCTGGATGGACTCATTGCAATTCTGTGACAAAGAATGAGGCATTGAAGATAAATTCTAAAAAGCAAATGACAAAGCATAAATTCAAGACGATAGATTAAGCCAATATACAAGATACTAAATACTCATTATGTATGTTGGAGGAGAGTATTGAAAGTGCCATGGGCTGCCAAGAGAACAAACAGTTCTGTGTTGGAAAAACTGCAGATAGAGTGCTCCTTGGAGGCCAGGATGGCCAAACTT